ACATGGGCAGCTTGGGAGTGAGTTAGAAGTTCATAAACAGCTTTATAGGGTTGCTTTCCTGAGCTCCTCCATCTCCATGATCTCTCCACTACTTTTGGGTTCCCTGAGGCTTCCCTTTTTAGTCCTCTAGCTAGAAAGGTGGCGCTATATTTACCCTGCTCTGCCACATACTTTCTGCAATGACATTTGTGTCCAGAGCCAAACAATGGATATTTACATCGCCCTCTTGGAACCACAACTCTTCCAGTCGGAGAGGAAAGTTCCACTCCATCAGAGTTTTTGGTGTTTGTGGGCCCTTCGCTGCCACCTCTATCACTGCCAGAAGATCCCACTCTTTCCCCCCAAGCCTGAGCTAGAGGACTTAACCTGGTGTTCTCTCTACCAGTGCCAATGCCCTTTGCCAGGTTCGCGCTCCAGGCTGAGGAATCAGAGGGAAAAGAACTCAGTAAAATCAACACTGTTTAGATGGTATGTCAAATTCTGTTCTTCTTACTTAATATTGAGTCTTCCAATTCATGAACACTGTATGTCTCTCCATTTATTTAGATCTTATTTAATTTCTTTCAGCAATGTTTTGTACTTTCCATATACAGATCTTGCACACGTTTTGTTAAATTTATCCCTAAGTTATTCACTTTTTTTATGTTATTGTAAATGGTAATTTTTAAAATTCATTTTCCGATTTTTCACTGCCAGCATATAGAAATGCAGTTGATTATTTATATTGACTTTATATACTGCAACCTTGCCTAATTCACTTATTAGTGCTAGTAGCTTTTTTGTAGATGCCTTAGGATTTTCTCCATAGATGATTATGTGATGTGTGAATAATGATACTTTTACTTTTCCCTTTCTAATCTGTATGCCTTCTATTTTATTTTATTGCCCTATTGCATTGGCTAGGATCATCAGTAGAATGTTGAATAGAAGTGATGAGAATGGATATCTTTGCCTTGTTCTCAGTCTTAGGAGAAGAGCATTCAGTCTTTTATTATTATGCTTTAGGTATTTTTTTATAGGTGCCTTTTATTACTTTGAGAAAATTCCTTTCTGCTTATAATTTATTGAGAGTTTTTATTGTGAATGGGTGCTGAAGTTTGTCAAGACTTTTTCTGCCTTTATTGAAATGATCATATTTTTTTCTTCTTTTGTTTTTTTTGTTGTTGTTGTTAATGTGGTGAATTGCATTGATTGATTTTCAACTTTTAAACCAACCTTGCATCTTAGGATAACCCCACTTTGTCATGATCTATTATCCTTTTTATAAGTTGTGGGGTTTTGGTAAAGATTTTTACCTCTGTGATGGTAGGAGATATTATTCTTAATTTTTTTCTTTTCTAGGATTGTCTTTGTTTGGTTTTGGTTAGGGTAATGCTAGCCTCATTATATGAGATAGTAAGTGTTCCCCCTCCTTTGTTTCCTGAGTTTGGGTAAGATTGATATTATTTCTTCCTTATATATTTTATAGAATTTGCCTATAAAGTTGTTGGGGTTTTTAGTTTTCTTTGTGAGAAAGTTTTAAATTATGGATTGAATATTTTAATAGATATAGGGCTAGAGTTTCAATTTCTTTTTGCTTCCATCTTGGTAACTTATTTTGTTAAAGGAAATTGTCCATTTTATCTAAATTATCATAATTATTCATATAATGTTATTTATAATATTCTTTTATTATCCATTTAATGTTATTTTAATCTCTGCAGGTCTTGTAGTGATTTTCTGTCTTTCCTTCATTTTTTTCATATTGATAACATGTGCTTCTCCTTTTTTCTTTTTTTAACCAAGTTAACACATTTTTATTTTTTATTTTCTAATACTTGTGTATAAACATACATATATTTTATGAAGTTGATGTAGTAGCATATATAAAATTATGTATTTCTCCCTCTGAGATTATATTATATATTTTCAATGACCATGTGTTTATTTCATCATCTTTTTTTAAAAAACCATTTTATTGGGGTACGATTGACATGCAAAAAGCTGTACATGTTTAATGTATACAAATCGATGAGTTTGGAGATGAGTATACACCTGTGGAGTTATCACCACAATCAATGCTATAAACATATCCATCACCTCCAAAAGTTTCTTCCCATCCTCTTTGTTTATTTTTATTTTTATTTTTTGTGATAAGAACAATTAACATAATATCTACTCTCTTAGCAAATTTTTAAGTATACAATATAGTATTGTTAACTATAGGCACTATGCTGTACACTAGATCTCTAGAACTTAATCATCCTTCATAACTGAAACTTTGTACTCTTTGACCAAGACCTCCCTGTTTCCTCCTCCACTCAGCCCCTGGTAACCACCATACAAGGAACCCTTGTTGGTGAGAATGTAAATTGGTGCAGTCACTATGGAAAACAGTATGGAAGTTCCATAGAAAATTAAAAATAGAACTATCATATGATCCAGCAGTCCCACTTCTGAATATATATCCAAATGAATTGAAATCAGGATCTCGAAGAGATATCTGCATTCCCATGTTCATCGCAGATCATTCAAAGACATGGAATCAACCTAAATGCCCATCAAGGGACAGATGGATAAGGAAAATGTGTTATTTACATTCAGTGAAATATTATTCAGCCTTAAAAAAAAAAAGGAAATCTTGCCATTTGCAACAACATGGATGAACCTAGAAGAGGTTATACTAAGTGACATAAGCCAGACACAGAAGAACAAATACTACATGATCCCACTTACATGAGGAATCTAAAATAATCAAACTTCCTTTTTCTTTTTTAATCTAGCAAGAAGTTTATCAATTTTGTTAATCTTTTCAAAGAGCTAGCTCTTGGTTTCATTGAGTTTTCTCTATTGCTTTTCTTTTTTCTATTGCGTTGAGTTCCACTCTTATCTATTATTCCCTTCCTTCTTCTTACTTTGGGTTTAATTTGTTCTTTTCTCTATCTTCTTAAGATGGAAGCTCTGATCATTGATTTTAAACTTTGTCTCCTTATATAAGCATTTAAAGCTATAAAATCTTCTAAGAGAAACATTTACTTAGAAGTACATTTTAACATCTCTGAAATCAGGATGCATCTTACACTCAATAACATCTTATGGTTGTAACTGTCATCATTGTTTCTTTCTTAGTGGTATACACAGTAATGATGCATCTTACAATCATTGATGTCCTAGACTCAGTGAAGTGCAATATTATACAATTCTTTTGAACTTTGCTTATCTAATAATTATGTAGTAAATATCCTTACATAATGATGCTTATGAGTCATAGCTTCTCTCTCTTTACCATTGTTTATATTTTGTTTTGTTTATAGCATGATTATCAGTCTTTTATCTTTTTATGCATTATCCTCAAAATCGAGGGTACCTTGAGAGCTATCTTATGATCTTCCAAAGTATCTAGTAGAATACTCTGCATACAGGGAACACAATGCTTGTAGTAAATAAAGGATGATAAAGGCTTAAGTGCAGAGTATAGAATTAAAAGTGGCCCCAAAACTGAAGCCCTCTGAGTCTCTAATTAACATGTACGTCAAAAAATTGCAAGTACGTATATGTTGTTGGATATCTCCCACCTTCAGTGCCCTAGTAGTGCACTTTTCTACTTAAAACAGCCCTCTTTTTAATTCATCTTAGATATTTTCCTAGTAATTGTTGCATTTTTTGTTTGTTCAGATATAGATTACCTTTGAGTTGTTTCCTACTCTAGATTAAAGGATGCAAGTATTTATACTGTACTTACCCCTCCATTTGTCTATTAACTTATTTATCTTACCCAATATGAGTTTTCTTTAGTTACTTTATCTCTGGGTTTTTATTTTCTTTAACTGAATGAAATAGAGCATAAAATTATTTCTTTTAATCTCTTTAGCTCCTTAAAACCCTGTTGTTTTCACATGCTTAGACGACTCCCTGGCAAGGCAATATTCCAGTCTGGTGTTCTGTAAGGCTTTAATCCTTATACAGTCTACTCTTGCTCTTCTAGGTCTGGCATTTCAGCAATTGAAGTGTTTTTATTGTTCGTCTTTTTTTGTTTTTCCTCATTACAGGGGAGTTACATCACATACAGATTTAACTCAGACGCTGACTTTAGGACTCAACCCTAAGGGAAAAAGTGACTCTACTGTACTCTTGGCTGCCTGTGGCTCTGCTAAAGAGAAGAGCCTAGGGGTCCATTTGCACACTGAAAAATTTCATCTATCAGCAAACTTGCCTTCTTCCCACTCAGAAAGTCCCAGGTTCCATGAACACCTTTTGTTCCACTCTTTGGTATAGAAAGTCAGTGTTTATGTTTATCAATTAGAACACTTTTGCCTTGGGGTGACAGAATGCTCATCTAAAGGTGGCTTAAGCAATGAGGATTTATTTGTGTCATTTAATGAGAATTCAAAGTTAGATAATCCTAGATGTGGTGGAGTGGCGCAGTGATTTCAGGGTTTTGGTCTTCCCTTTAAAACTTCAATGTGGCTGCGCTTCTCTAAGCACCATACAACATCTATCATACAACATCCCCATACAACATCCATCCTAAAGCTGCTTTTCCTGTTTTGTGTGGGTGTGTGTCTCTCTCTCATCAAAGAGGGAAAGCTTTCCCATTAACCCCACATGTACCTCCTCATATGTCTCGTTGTCCAGGATTGTGTCACGTCATGCTCTAGCTGCACAGGAGTCTGGAAGAGCGAGTATTTAGAACATTCAGACTCTATAGTGGGAGGTAGGCTCTGACAGCAAGGAAGGAGAAGGAAGAGAATGTCTATTGCCTGGGCAGTCAACAGTATCTGCATGTGTGTATACATGTGCATGTGTGAGTAAGAGAGAGAGAAATCTAGATTGACTTTTGTTTGGATAGATGCTCTTGTTCCCGTATGAAGTTGTAAGTAGACCCATAGCAGAACTTTGGATGACCCGCCACATGGAGGAGGAGGATGGCATTTGGGCTAAAATTGCCTTTGCTTCTCATGACACAATTAGAACTTTACATTTTGTTTTAGTTACTTGAAATCTTGGTTTTATGATTTCAGGTTGAGTCCAGAAATCTTCCTGAAACGCCCAGTGGTTGAAGGAAATCGTTGGAGGTTGGACTACATACTTAAACGAAAAGCAGTATGTAATTTCCAAACAAATGCTGATATGATTTTTTAAATGTTTATTGCCTCTGAAATGACTTTTCTTTTTCAAAGCCCTTCATATATACTTAGAATGTTTTTTTTTAGAGTTTGACAAAAGCCAGAATACTTACTGTTTTCAAATTCATTTGATTCTGATTTTTTTCCTGTTACTCTTGAGTGCATAAATATTTTAGCCTAGTTCACAGCATGGATTATATTAGCAACTCTAATTTATTTTTTTATTCAGTTACAGGTAGTTAATTTTACAGGCAAAAAATTGTAATAAAATTTAATCATTGAGTAATAAATGATGAAATGAAACACAGCATTTTATTTTATTCATTATTCTGTCATTTGAGCAAAAGAGAAAATCATTTGGAGAATGATTTCAGTCAGATGGGGCCAAGCTGATGTAGAATAATATCAAAGAGGAGGGACATTAAGAATTGGTGCTGTTTTGGTTCCAGTGTTGGAACAGTTGATGGTAATAATGTGAAATTGTTCCCTGGGCAGTTCACTCTGTAGATTCTGGGTGAGCACTGGGTGTGTTCTTTTTGTCACAAAAAGTAAATAACTGAAGCAGTACAGGTTCACCAACAACTACTTTACATTCATATTTCTAATAAAATTATTTTTATGTAGTTGGCTCTCAGCCAAGTTAAATTAAGTTGAATTAGAATAGATCTGGATTTATTATTAATCATGTCCAAATTAGGGAGTGCTAGGCTTTTTACTATTATTTGAAACTATCTTAATGTTTTTTATTCTATCATTAAACATCCTGGCAGAATTTGTAGATCCTAAGTAATTGGGGGTAGCATTTTTCTATTTCTCACAGCCATCACTCATTTCTTCTTTCCTATCCTCAGCATTCCCCACCCCTTTCCCCACTCACCTGTACCTTTCTCTCAGTGTCTTTTCCCCATGCCTTTACTTTAGGATTTCCACAGATATCTATAGATGTAGTCAGACCTTACTGCTAATATTGAAAGCAAAAGAAGTTGATCATCTTTTTTTCAGACACTTGTTCTTCCAAACAGCATCATTTTTGTGGCTAGTCTAATTTGTTGTCTCAACAGAATTCCATTCACAAAATTGGAAATTCTGGGCCTGAAAAGCATTATTTGCATGTTCATTAGACAATTCAACATATAGTTACTGAGTGTCTCCCGGGAGCCGGGTACTACACTAATTACTAAAGACGCCATGTGTGTGAATAGGATTCCATCCGTGTCCGTGGAGACCTTGCTGAAGGACTCATGTCCTGGGCTCAGTCCTAGCTTTATCAAACTTCTTTCTATGTGTTGAATGGGTTATAACTTTCTCCTTGTTTCTCTCTGTGAAATGGCACCTTTCCCATTTCTCCTCAAGATTCCATTTTAGTAGGTTTTTCCAGCCTTGCTTAGCAATCGTCAATCATATTAGTCAATCCTCTTCTCGTAGTATTTTTTTTTTTTTTTAAGATTTTATTTATTTATTTTTTCCCCCAAAGCCCCAGCAGATAGTTGTATGTCGTAGCTGCACATCCCTCTAGTTGCTGTATGCGGGACGCGGCCTCAGCGTGGCCGGAGAAGCGGTGCGCTGGTGCACACCCGGGATCCGAACCCGGGCCGCCAGCAGCGGAGCGCGTGCACTTAACCGCTAAGCCACCGGGCCGGCTCCTCTTCTCGTAGTATTTATCAATATTTTACTGTTTTAGGTTTCAATCAACATGTATTTGTTCAATACCTACTATTTGCAGGGCACTTGGCTAATAATATGGGGATGTACATGAATAAAAGACATGATTCTTGACCGAAAGGAGCTTAAAAGTCTACACAAGTCAGCTGGGTACAGCGACAAATCTGGGTACAGCTTCAAAGGCAGGAAACAAAGCCCTGGGTAGGTCTGGTGGGGAAACCTCTCAAACATGAGGGATTTAGGAGGGCAAAAAATTTAAAAAGAAGAAGTTTCTAGGTGTAGGAAATGTAAGGAAACATGCTGCAAGCAGGAATTCAGAAGGCTCTGTCAGTCACAGTATGGTGACAAGGTTGTATAAGTAAGATAGGGATCCAGCTGGAAGGGCAGGCTGCAGCTGGGATGTGGAGGCTTGCTGAGCCAAGGCAGTGATCTGGACTTTATGGAAGACAATGGGGAACACTATAGGGGATGGGGAGCTCGGTGGAGGAGGGATGATCTGATAAAAACGGTGTGTTGGGAAGGTGAATCTGGTAGTGGGAGGACATAGGGAGACTTCAGATTTGGAGAGCTGAATTCTAGATGTCTTGAGTGTGAGGTGCCTACAGGACATCTAAGTAAACTCCGGAGAGCTGCTAGGTGCCGGGGCAGGGCTCCAGAGGAAGGGCCTGCGTTCCTGGCCCTCCACCGCACGCGAGCTGCACGCGCTCGTTCACTCCCCTCAGCGTCCTGTCCAGCTGCTTTTTCCATCACTAGCGTGGCTTCTCTCTGCTTTTGTGGCCCGTGAGCCCTGGTGAGGTCCCAGTAGAATACCATCTCCAAATACGTATTATCGCCTGGTAACGGTGCTTCATTTCAATTTCATCCACTTCCTGAAACTTGTAATTTTTAAATTGCACACAAATGATTTTAAAAATTTCCTAAGGAAATAGTAATACTATTAAATATTAATTTCTCAGTGGTACATTTAGCAGAATTGCTCTTCCCTACTCTAGCTACACCATATTATTGTTTTGGCCATAAATTTTTAACACCCAGATCATTCCAAATTGACATTTCATATGCTTATAGACACTGCTTCACATACATAATTTAGTTTCTGAAAGCCACTAGATTCACAAAGTACTGGATTGAAAATAACATGTATTAATGGGTCCCAGAGGTACACAAGGTTGATTAAAATCAAAGATTTTTTTCTTCTATCTGATTATTTAGATTTGGGGGGAAGAATTTAGTGTCTCTGCCTCATAGCCAAGATATAGGCAAACATCTCTTAGGGAAAAAATACAATATCTTGCTTCTTTGGTAATAACCAAGTTCATATTTTCCTGCTTCTTTGGCCTTCTGATATGCAATGCCGTCATTTAAAACAGTATAAGCCAAACTTGAGAGGCAGACTGTTTATAATTCAAATGGGTATCCCGGGTTTTCCACAGTTCTGCATTTACTTCACTAAGAGGCAAGATAAGTTGCATCATCATAGTTGTGGTAACCTTATCCCTGTACCCAATTTGTATATTTCAACCCTAGAAATGTGCAATAGTTCTGATGACACTTGCACTAAAGGAAACTTCAAGTGTAGCAACCTGAAGATTTACAGGAAAAGGTTTAGGTCCTCGGGGGGAAATTTTGTCATCGGGTTAATTTCTTTCTGTCCTGGACCACAAGGCACATTCTAGAGTTGCAGTCAGTGAACAATAGGAGGGAAAAACATCCAGGTTTGTCAAATGAGATCAATAATCAAAACATCCAGGTTTGTCAAACGAGATCAATAATCACATCTTCACACAGAAAAATCAAATGGAATCTTATCAAAGCAGTGGGCTAGGAGAGCATGGCGGGGAAGAGGAGAAGGGATCTTCAACCTTGAGGGCAGTGCTTTAAACAAAACTGGTTTAAAGAAAAAAAAAAAGGCCCGTGAGCATTTGTGCTCTTACATCTCAGTGCTGCCTGCTTTTAAATGGTAGGGATACGATATCTTTTTATCCTTAACTTTTCATTTTCCTAAAATATTACACCCCCTGGGGAATTCCTTGATAAGTGATAAAATTAGTGATTGACCTGGGGTTATGTAAACTAAACTATCTTGAGGCAGTGGACAAACTTGGCTGCCTTTAGAAAATATTTTGGCCACGGTCCTTTGAACAATCAAAGAAAAAGCTAGCTCAGAAACAAAGTCTCTTTGATTTCAACTATAAAAATTTTTAATTTTTAATTGTTTTCATGTGTGTTTTGCATATGTAAAGCTCCTAAAAACTCCTACTGTTTATAGTATTGTGTCTGCTCTACTTGATTAAAAACTAAGTAGAAAAGAGGACAGGCCCTTCATCTTTTTGAAATCATGAAATTCAGGTTTCATGAAGTTTATTCTGCCGAACCTTCAGGTTGGTTGACGTCAGCAGAGAGGAAACATGGCACTGCATACCCAGCTCCTGGCCATTCATTTTCCTATTTCCCCTATTAATAATCTTCCTCCTCTGTAAACAAAAGATAATTTCCCCTTCCCCCTACTAAAAGGCATTGGTAAAATATTAGATGCCTCAAAAGTATATTTTTTAAATTACAGAATTAACATCAGTCGGTTTTTTTTGTCTGATTTGGCTTTCCTTTGGGACAAATATTTCCCACATTTTGTGTAAGTCTGCACTATTATGACCTGGCAAATGCCTTCATTCCAAAGGAACATTTTTTCCTTTGCCCTTTGTAGTTTAGAGTTTATGATAGTGTTGTATACCTTGACCAAAAGAAGAGACACTTGTTGCTTTATTATCACAGAAATCTTGTCACTAATTAACTGTTTATTGTGATATGGGTGTAAGTAAATAATTGTAAACCAGACTACATAAAAATGAACTTTTTAATTTAATTACTTCCTTGTTAGTCATTGGTATTTAAGCAAAAAAGACTTAAAAGTCTCTACTTCCTTTAGAGTTGATTTATTTCAATGAGAAAAGACACACTATAGAAGAAAATGTCAGGTGTTAATAGATGGAGGGTAATAATGTAATCCATTAGCGTTAACATCTCTTTTATTTCAAAAATCCATTAGTTATGCAGGTAAATGGAAAATTGCAAGATTCAGGCCAGTTCCTAATGCCCTTTGTGAATAATCACCTCATAAGCATAAGAAGCAGAATTTCATCCATTTGAAACAAATGAACCATGATGAAAGATGTCAGGTGTAATGTTCTATAATTTATGTTGAAATTTTGGGTTTTAAACTTTATATTATATCTTTCAATGGGAGGCTATTTTTTGTAACTATTATTCAATGCTGAATCCTAAAACATTCTAATAGCAAAGTAAATCTGAAGAGTAGAGGAGAAAAATAAGATAATGTCCTCATTTTCATTTAGAGCTTCAATCAGTGGCTCATTGCAGAGCATTCACTGGCCAGACCATTAGAAACTAATGTGTTTACTTCTTGCCTACACTTTCACTTCTTTATTTCTTTACTCAGGTCTGTACTTATGTACTTGATTGTGATAATAATTGAATAATTATAATAATAAATAATAATCAAGTTCCAAAAAGCAGCTGTTAAACAGAGAAATAGAATGACATATGTATTTTTTTATCCTATTTTTTTCAGAGCAAGAATGAGTTTTCTCCTAGTACTCAAATTTCCTTAATGCAGCCCAGAACGTATATCTAGTGTGTCCTTCAAAAATGTATACATTTTTCAGATATTACTAACACCAAGAAAGATAGAGTGTTAGTATTTTGAAGTGATGTATTATTATAAGGATTTAGGAGCCAAAACATGCTTCTTAGTATTGGCAGAGCAATATTGGGGAACTGTGTATGTGTTTGGTTTACTCTAAGATTTTATATCCTGCAACCTACAAATATTAACTCCCATTTTATTTCACATTTTATAGCATTGCAAAAATAATCAGTTCTTATAAATTAGATGCATTCAACACAGTACGGCTTCTTAAACTTGTGACTCAAGTTTCCATTATGAACAATGCCTAATTGCCATGGATTATTAATTTAAACTGTAACTAAATTATTCTTTGTCACTATAGTTTATTAGATATGCCTGCATCTCTAATACTCTAGAAAGCATTGTGGAAAAATTCTTGCCTTTTATCTCTAGGATATTACATGGCTAGCTGTAGATACATTATCTAATGTGTATGCAATATGTTTCAGAATGCTTTCAGAGGTGCTGGGTATAGAGAATGCAGATTAAAATGTTGCAAATTGCACAGCAGTACTGAGGATGCAAACCTAAAAAGTAAAAAAAGTGATGTAAGAAGTGAGGGTAAGTAAGGTGGAGTTTCCTGGAGGGATATATTCTGAACTATATGTTGGAGGAGGAACCCTATAAGTGGACAGGGAGAAGGGCAGGGACATTCAGGTCTGGGGCATTTTAGCACAGGCTAAAACTTTGTCACCACCCAGAACTAGAAGAGAAAATATTAATACTTTTTTATACTACCAGCTGTTGGACATTGTCTTTTTGATGGTTAATATTAATTTTAAAAAAATGTTATTTGTATAGCACATTAAAGTTTACCAGGCACTTTTGATTTAATTTGACCCTCACAGTGGCCTTGTCTGTTTTCTTTTAGGTTCAAGGTCTAAGGCTGGATAAATGTTAATTTGTGTGCTGCTGCTAAAACTCACGGATTTTAGAATGTTAGAGAAGCTGACTTCTGAAGAAGTCATTTCACTAGAGAAATTAACATTAATGCTTTAATCATGGGTTAAGAGTATGAACCAACACATTCATCTTTGAAGATAAAGAAATGTTTTTTCCATTCAAATAATTTTTTAAATAAAAAAACATTTTATGAAGAATACCCCATAAACATATAAGGGATATTTAGTATAATTTATTGCATCAGAGTTTTTTTTAATCACTGCTATTTCAACTGATTAAAATGTAATAAAAACAAACAAAAAACACTAATCCTGTAACATGAATCAGGTCCAAATTTTCCTCAATGACAAGTGTTTGGAAATGTTCAAATGTGTAAGATTATCAGACACTTTTAGCATTTGAGGTTACAAATGTCAACCTTCTAGCTGTAATTAGTCAAATATTGACACTCTCTCTTGGTGTGACAAGTCGTAGGAATGGAAGGGAGATAAATTTTTATTTTTCACATTTTTGTCAATATACACTTATGTTTCACTCCTTGTATTGCATTTTTCATTAAATATTTCATTATATTTGTTTATTGAAGAAAGTTTAGAGAGTATGCACAGAAAGAAGGAAAAGAAAGTCATAACCTACCTCCAGAAATTCTCATTCCTCCTCTGGTTTCTCTTGTGACAGCAACAGGGGGTGAGGATCTTCGTAATGCTCTATAAAGAGGTGGAACTTGCTCTTGGGATCAACAGTGAATACAGCAAGAGGACTTTAATGCGTCTACACCCCAACATAAAGGTATTCAGGTTCATCTTGCTGAACAATGTTTCTTCTTTATTATTCTGCAGTTTTTCAGATACGTTTTGCTTTGAGCAGTGGTAATCTGTAGCATTCCCTAATGTATATTTTGGATAAATAGCATTGTGTCCTGAGAAATAAAACAAAATACTATATGGAGTGTTGACAGAGTCAGCAGAGTTCATATTTCTGCTTCGATTACCCTGATAATTTAGCCAAGAACACGCTTCCTAGAGTTGTTCTAATATTCAAGAGTCCTGTCAAGTTCCCATGCTCCTCATTGGGATTATCCTGGAACCTCTTAGACGTGATCTCCCTGTAACATCCCTTGAACACTACGCTGACAGTACCAGAGAGCTCCTCTAGGATTTAAAGTGCTTTTCTTAATAGTGTCTTGCATAATATACTAATAAAGTAAATAAACACTATAAACAATTTGAACATAGCTATTTGATATTTTACCAAAGGCTGAAAACCTATCACTAAATATAGCCCAGTCATTGAGATACATCAAGACAATGAATGAATAAATCTCCAGCAGGCTTAAAGTATATAATATTATATATGTCACTTGGTTAAAAAAAGATATTCCATGTAAATAGTAACCAAAGAGAGCAGGAGTGGCTATACAAATATCAGACAAGATAGACTTTGTTTAAATACAGAGCATTTAAATAAAAATGCTTAATACGGTAAACTTTATGTTTGTATATTTTATAATTAAAAATGTGTTATTAACAGAAATGTAGTCTCTAATGTTTCTACTTAAAGACGTAGGAAAGTAGGATAGGTCATTGTGAGGTCATTTGGAGAGAATTCTATTTGAAAGCAGGAGGTTAATAACTTCTCAAAGTACCTTTCAAATCAAGAGATCCCAAAATATCCATATGCCTATATCCATATGCATACTATTTCAACACAGTGGCTACCAAAATATCAATATACTTATTAAAAATTTTGCCAGAGATAGATGTTGGTTACAAATTTTTAGTTTTTTAAAATAATACCAGATATAACATAATCCTTTTAGGGAGAAAAGGGGATCAGCTGTTATACTGAGGTGACTTTTTAGAAATGTGTGGTCAAACTTCAAGCTAAATGGCTGCTGCCCCAAAATGTGGTCTGGGGGGAGGGAGGCTTAAAAAGTATCTAGGAGTCTTCCTCTGCTAAGTATTGAGAATAAAATTAGAAGTTTGGAGATTTTCTTTGGTGTATACATAGCGCATTTTGGTATTCCAATTACAGAAAATGCTATTCAGGGGAGAAAACAGACCTCTTTTATTGTAATATGAAGGACATTCTTAAAAGCATGTTACATGTGGCGGTTTTATTCCTCTCAAGGTGATGAGGCACCCAGATCATGTGTCGTCCAGTGTATATCTGTGGGCTCATCACGAGAAACTCGTCGTCATCGACCAGTCAGTGGCCTTTGTGGGTGGGATCGACCTGGCCTATGGAAGGTGGGATGACGATGAGCACAGACTCACAGACGTGGGCAGCGTGAAGCGTGTTGCTGTGGGACAGTCTCTGGGTTCCCTCACAGTAAGTAAATTTCACCTTTATGGAACTGCATAAAAGGGACACAATTTGTGTGAAGTACGTGCTAAGAGTGTGACTAGTTGACTGAATGAGTGGTGGCATATCCCTGGAGGGGTCAAGAAGCTTGGGTCAAACATAGACAGACCTGGTTCCAGATACCACCAAGCAAGTCTGTAACTTTGCATCTCTTAGTCCTAGTTCCTTTTCTTGTAAGAAGAGAACACAGAGTCAATGGAGCATTTTCTATCTCATAGTCAGCTCCTCTGTTCTCCCTTTAAAGATTTATTTTCTATTTGGAAAAAAAAAGTTTATAAAGAAAAATGAGTGGCAATTGGGCTTTAAGTTAAAGAGCAATAAACAGCCTTGTTACAAGTAGCTGCCAAAGTTTTTGGAATATTCCTACTTAGAGACATACAAAAATAGGACAGGTCAGTCTGGAGTCGTTTAGGGAGTTCTGTTTGAAAGCAGGAGGTTAACAACTTCTCAAAGTACGTTTCAAATCAAGAGCTGCCAAAATATCTATATGCCTATACTTGTTATTTCAACTCAAGTGGTTGCCAAAGCATTACTACACTTATTAGAAGTTTTGACGGGCTCCATCTTATTTTACTGCTGGATATGTCATGATTTTTCTGGGAAAATCGAGATTTGGTAAATAGGTAACAGGGAAAATAATCGACAGAAAAAGCAGTGCTTGCTTAATGTTTATCAGAGGAAGAAGTTCAGCAGCTCGGCAGTGCATGTAGCTCATGTAATTTTATTTGAGAGACAAAGGTTAATTGGTATGAAATTTCAGGAATTTGGCCTACTGAAGGAGGAACTACAATGGAATGCCTGGCATTCGTCTGGTAGTGTTTAAACAGCTCACAGGAATCCCCCATGCCCTGTGGCTGACCTCACACATCATTGTGTGGCCATCATGTGGCAAATTTTACACCTCAGCTCTACTGGAATTAAAGGGCCACATTGCAGCGTTATCTTATGTAGTGTCTTTTTTTTTTCTTAATAATTTTCTCAGGCTGAAACAACAGAGTCTATGGAATCCTTAAGCCTCAAAGATAAAAATGGATCTAATAAAAATCTACCCATCCTGAAGAATGGTGATAATATGGATTCAAAACCAAAAGGAATAGGAAAGCCCAGAAAGTTCTCCAAATTTAGCCTCTACAGGCAGCTCCACAGGCACCAGTTGCACAACACAGACAGCATCAGCAGCATCGACAGCGCCTCCAGTAAGTCATCATCTTTGCTGGAATTTAGCCTGATGTCGTTCTGTTCCTTCATTGCCAGACACTATATACCTGTTTGTTGTCGTTTTTTGTTTTTTTTTTTT